ACGAAGACCGCTTCGCAGGCTTACCACCTCACGCAGGGCGTCGCTAAGGAGGCGTCTTAAAGGCTGATCCAGAAGTGGCACTTTGGGTCTGGGTAACAGGAAAATAGGAAATAAAAAGTGTTTTTTTGTAGTTTGAAAGTAGATTAATGGCTGGAAAATAAATGTACTTTGCACAAGAGAAATATGAAGCCTCACTTGTACGGTCCAGGGCCATTTTCAGTCCCAAAATATTATCGAAACCAAGCCCTCTGAATCCAGCCCAGTGCTAGGTTCCCAGCACAAGCCAGAAATATTCCTTCTTGAGCCCGAATTTTAAAAGGCCAGCAGTTCCCCTCCGAGGCTGGCAGCCGGGTAGGTCAGCCTCTGAGGCGTCAGGCTCGAAAGTGCTGCCTTCGATGGCCAACGGTGCCAAGTTTGCCACTGCTGCAGGGGCCACGTGCTGGCCGTGAGCACCCCGCTCACACGGATGCTGCCCCACGCTGGTGCCTACCTCACATGGATGTTTATGTCAAAAGTCTTGCAGTCCTTATTCTGGGGAGCTGCCCACTTGTCCTGGACCAGCATGACCACATCTGCTTCCACCTGCACGCAGAGCACCCTGCCCGGCGCACTGCACGGGGGAAAACACAGCACGCGGCTCAGGAAATTTGCTGGCCATCTACTTTCCAAAGAAATGGTGACCCCACCGCCCCGAGCCACGCTCCTGACGGACACGCTATACCTGGTGCTCTCGACCAGCAGCTGGGTGTTGAAGTCCACCTGGTGCCCAAAGCCAGGCAGGGAGCGCAGACTTATTTTGGGGAGGGTGTTGTTCAAGATTTTCATCCTATATGGTTGAAACAAGGAAAAGGCAATAAGTAGCACATCTGTACAGTGGATGCCCTGTCCCCTCAGCCCTCAGTGCTGCGGGCAATTGCAGAGCCACGGTCTCAGGGTGCTCTCTGCCCTGGGTCAGCAGGGATCCCTACCAGCCAGGAGCATGGCAGGCACATACAGAATCTCCTAACAGCTGAACCCTCATTTATGAACCTGCCCCAGGAGGCGAAAGAAGGAGCCCCAGGTGTTCAGACCAGCTCCTTTCCCCAGCATGGCCCAGATGCAGCGAGGGCTGCTCTGGGACACCCATCTCCCACTCTCACTCACCCTGTGAGATCTCCACCATTTCCACCAAGAAGATTGCCAACAAGTCCATCTTTGCCAAGGAGACCACCTTTGCCAATGAGAATATCAAGGACAGCATCAAGGAGACCATCAACAAGACCGTCTTTGCCAAGGAGACCACCAACGACACCATCTCTGCCAAGGAGACCACCAAGGACACCATCTCTGTCAAGAAGACCACCAAGGACACCATCTTTGCCAAGGAGACTGTCAACGACACCATCTCCGCCAAGGAGACCACCAACAGCACCATCTCTGTCAAGGAGACCACCAAGGACTCCATCTCCGTCAAGGAGACCACCAAGGACACCATCTCCACCAAGGAGACTGCCAACAGCACCATCTTTGCCAAGGAGACTGTCAACGACACCATCTCCGCCAAGGAGACCACCAACAGCACCATCTCTGTCAAGGAGACCACCAAGGACTCCATCTCCGTCAAGGAGACCACCAAGGACACCATCTCCACCAAGGAGACCGCCAACAGCACCATCTTTGCCAAGGAGACTGTCAACGACACCATCTCCACCAAGGAGACCGCCAACAGCACCATCTTTGCCAAGGAGACTGTCAACAATACCATCTCCACCAAGGAGACCACCAACAGCACCATCTTTGCCAAGGAGACCACCAAGGGCACCATCTTTGCCAAGGAGACCACCAACAGCACCATCTTTGCCAAGGAGACCACCAAGGGCACCATCTTTGCCAAGGAGACCACCAAGGGCACCATCTTTGCCAAGGAGACTGCCAACAGCACCATCTTTGCCAAGGAGACTGCGAAGAGGACTATCTTTTTCAAGGAGACCACCGAGCAGATTGCCACCAAGGAGACCACCTTGAAGCTTCTGGCGGTCATGTTTGGCTAGTGAATCTGTAATATCTGAAAAAAAGGATGAGAGGTCACTGTGAGCTATGTGGACTCAGCGCACAAGCATGCTGTGTCATCCTGGCTGTTCCTTCCCCTCCACAATCCCTCTATTTCCCTCTTTATACAATAGTGTGGTGGCACCTGCCACTGTAAAGTATCTGAAGTGCCATCTCCAAAGTGCTTTATAAATGCAATTTACCAGCATTGCCACTACTGCTGAGTGGATGTGGACCAGCTTCTGATTTTCTGAGCGTGGTCAAGAGACAGAAAGCAGAACTGGTCTCAAAAAAACCCAGAAATCCTGTCTCTTCCATGCACTTACCATCTACATCCTCTTTGGCGACCGAGGACATGATTCTGAGTCCTTGTGAAGGGGTCAGCAGGCTGCAGAGGAGAAAACCAGCCCAGAACGCAGACATCTTTGGTCCTGATAACTGTGGAGAGTGATTGCCATCAGTGCAATGCTGGGACATGAGCACAAGCCAGTGGAGGGCGGAAAGAGGAGGATGGAGGAAAGAAAAAGGAGGAATGCCTGTCAGGGAAGACAAAATCAGAGAGGAAGCTGCTGGCACCTCTCCCGCCTCCTCACCACACTGGTGGGCACAGTAAAACTCTGGATGGCACTTTCCTGCAGGAGGAACAAGAACTTCAACAACAGTTGCTCCAGAGACCAACCGTCACAGCAGCCAAGTGAAAAGCAAATGGTTGGTTGGTTGTTCCTGCTCTAATCTCTCAGCGCCGGCGAGCGTGTTGGTGACTGATCTGGATGAGCTGGGGCACATCTATTGTGGGTGGGAATTTCTCCAAGAAACAAGAATGTTTTCCCATCCCACGTGATGGGAAAACAGGACCTTTCTGACAAGACCGTCTCTAGTCACAGAAAGAAAAGCGATGGCATCTACACAGGACAAACACACCAACATATCCAGTAAGGAGAGCATCTCCTGGTTTGAATGTCATGATCTCTGCACAAATATCAAACAGCTGAGGCTTCCCTCTACATAAAAGCACCTTTTTCTAAAATTGTAAGAGGGAGAAAATAATTTTTAAAGTTCCAGTGTCATTGAAATATTTCTGTGGGACCTACAACTTGAAGTAGCTTTTTTTTTTTAAAGAACCATAATGGACTTCATTGCCCCAAATCTATTTAAATGTAAATAACACATCAAAAAGGGATCAAAACAAGCATGAGAGTTCTAATTCACCTTAGGTAAAAATCTATCTCAGATAACAAAGTATACCAAAAATAATTTAAGTGATAATTGTTTATGAAAACCATGAAATACCCTTTCTTCTTGAAGGACTGCAAATACAATGAACATGCATGCCTGTTCTTGAGAAACTCGTAGTGAAAGCCACCGCACATTTTATTCGTCGGAGAATAACTCAGGCAGGGAGAAAGCAAGAAGAACAATTTTTGTTAAAAAGCCAGTACTCCCAAACGGACATTACAGGCTCTCCTTTGGGAAGCATTCAGGTTTGCAGAGGCAGAAGCTAAGAGCACACTTTTTGAGGAGTACGTTTGCTCCTACCTGACCAAGCCCGTGAGTGCGAGGCTGTCTCCAGCTGATGTCCCTGTCCTCTGAAGATGACCTGCTTCAAGCATCCTCATATATAGAGCTTTACAGCAGGAAAGAGGTAACCAATGTCATCAAGGAGATCCAGAATAATGGGTGGGGAGCAAAACAAACAATGTACGGTTTCTGGTGACTCCCACTTCAAATATTTCCCTGGAGATGTTAGGAGTCAGGTAAATCATTGAGCAACGACCCGTAGGTGCAGAGGCAGACTCGGCCAGCTCTGGGTGCCAGTCCGCACTCCGCTGCCTGGTGTAGTATGTCATCCTTCCAGACTTGCTCTCGTGTCATCATGCAGACATGGCTGAAAAGTCATGCCCTGATAAAATACTTTTTTTTTCCAAATAAAACTGACGTTTTGACTGAAAAATGTGTCAGAATACTGGCCACCTCTCGCTGTTAAGTACTTCTACAGTTCTTGGTGCTGTAGGACCGAGCACTTTACCCTTGCAGCGAGCCCATGCGGTGGGGCTGTGCCACCCATCATGGGTGATAAATGAAGGACCAGTCTCACTGTAAAGACAGACCGTGGAGATACAAAGAGAGCCGGGTATTCACCATCCAGGCCAGCAGGACATGCCCAGCGTTCCCATCGTGATGAGCCTACGGACTGTGACCATACCCAACATTTATCAAAGCCAACAGCACCTGCCCAGTGACCTGAATGGCTCATAAGCCATTTGATAACAGGAGAAGGAGGTATTGAGTTTGGAAGGAATAGTGACACCATGACAAGGCGTATATCGATCAGGTGTCATGGCTTTACAGATACCCTGGGCTGACAGAGTCTTTGGAGAGACTTCGTGTTGGATTTGGAAATGCTGCATTGGTCTAACTGGCATGGCATTATTCATAGGTCCATCACCTCTTCCTCAGAGCACTCCAGGACTGGAGGTGGGATGTGCTGTCACGGGGAGATACCGTTGAGAGGGTGAGACCGTTGACCACGAAGCCAGGGAGCTCCCAGGCTAGAGCTTGTTGACTCTGGATCAGTTTGAAGACCTGGAGGGACTGATTGGATGGTCCCAGCATGGGCGTATCAAGAGACGTGGCCTCCCTGCCACACCACCCCATGCAACACACGTGCTGCAACTGCCCGGGGTCTTCTGCCTCTGCACCACCGCGCTGTCCAGGCCCCTGCCTTCTCAGATTTCTGGCCAGGTTTTTTTCCACGCTGAAAAATTGTGTCCTACCTGGCCCATCATGGCTTATTTACTGCTACAGGCAAGAGAAAAGGAGCTAAAATTTCTGCCGAGCCAACGTGCCACGTGCACCCGCAGCCATGCTGCCTTTCTCCCTTCCGCCCCATCCGGGTCCCGATCACCAGCACCGCACCGACACGTGGAGCCGCTGCCTCGAGCTGCACCAGAGCAGCTGCCCTTTGGGGCAAGAAAAAGAAAACCCTCCTCTGCGGGCGACAGAGCAAGCGTGGCCCCCGTGTGCGGATCACGTCCCGGTGCGCACAGCGCGGGCGTCCGCGGCGGAGGGAGGCCGCGTCAGCCAAGGGGACCGCGGTGAACTATTCGCCCCCCTGATGTGCCCATTAACGGCTGTGGAGGATGGGCTGCTCCCCAGTGCTGAAGAATAAGAACAGTCCAGAAAAAGGCTGGCTCGGAGTTAATACTTTCTGCAAACTTGGAAATAAGTATTTCCAGCAGATTAGCCAGCTTTTGTCACACATTAATTCCGGCGTTAAAAAATATCCTAGCTAAGGGCCAAGGAAGGGCTGGCAAAGGTGCCAAAGTACTTCGGGGGCTGTCACCTCCTTGCAACCTGAGCAGCCGGGCACCTCAGGAGCACAAAGCCTTGCTGTCACCGCTAGATCATGACATTTGATAAGGTGGAAGCGAGTGTTAACAAGATGGTATTATGTTATCATCCCTCCTGAATCGCTTTATACTTTGGGCAATCACTATACGAAACCCAAATTACCATAAACACCGACCTGATAATGGTCAGCACACAGTAATGGGGCACTTTGGCATCGCCGAGAATAGCTTCTGAGCAGTGACCTTTCGGGCATGACAGTAACTTGGCCTCTCACCGTTCTCTGCGGAATGCGGAGTTCTCCGACAGTTAAATATTTTGGATAAACTGAAGCAGATTCCCATAAAGAGAATGACATCTTGAGGTCCAGGTCTCGCTAAAGCAACTTTCAAAGCCCCAAGAACACGGAGCCAAATCACTGTGTGAGGACAGAAAGACAGAGTAAACCAGAACGGACTTGGTCAAAGGGAGAACAATAGGGCTGATGTGAACCGAGGCCGCTTTGACGCTCAGCTCACCTGGGAACCGAGACCCAAGGGCGGGCGGTCAGAGGGACGTACCCCGAGCAGCGTCAGAGGTCTTGGCGTTAGCCACAGGGCAGCTGGCCCTGGCCAGGGCGGCGAGGTGAAATGCGTTAGCCCTGGCTGAAAACCGAGGCGGTTCTGCTCCGCTGTCCCGCAGACGGCGGCGTCCAGACGTGCCCCTCCCGCCTGAGGAACCCGCCTCTGCGGGGACCCCGGGCCAGTCTTGGTTTGCTCTTTCATTCCTCTGGGACCGTTAACTGTGAGCGACCGGTGCAGCCCCCGCTGCTGGGGACATCGGGGCTGCCGGGGTCCA